ATGGAGGCTCGAGTATGAGCTTCCATTATTACTTTACTAAAAAAAAAAAAATCATAAAAATATATTACTTTATAAAAATTAATTGTAAAAATTATATTTGATAGATTATGTAATTTTGAAGCACAATCTAACATATTAAGATTTGAATCATTTCATGATAAAAAATGAAATGATAATAAAAATTCATTTCTCGAAAAATAAATATTTTCATTTGTTAATAAATAAAAATATTATTTTTATATATGTACGTAAAATGTATATAGTAACCATTTGGACGACCAAAAAATAATATCAATCAAAATGTTTACGAACCATTTAAATAATAATTTATTGAGGGGGTTAATTCAAGAGCAAAAGTGTGAATTTCATAAATATATGTAAAAAAAATTCGCTTAAAGTTATTCAAAAGTATAAAAAAAAAACTTATAATTGTAAAAATTACTTGTAATTTGACAATATATTAACTTAAAAATTTGGAGTAAATATTTAAATATATTTAATTTTTAAAATTAAATATTAACTTATATGTTAAATATATGATCTATAAATAAAATATCAGTCAAATAAAAAAATATATATCGAAGGAATCTCTCCATATTTATTTTGGAGACTTGATCTCTCCATGAGATCAAGCCTCCGTATCATGGAGGATTTTCCTCCGTAATACGGAGGCTTGTTATGAGAGATCAAGTCTCTTGTTATAGAGAGATCAAGCCTCCGTATTGCGGAGGATTGAGACTAATATTTTTCTTTGAATTTATTTATTAGTAATATTTTTATTTGTTGATATTTTTTGCTATCACTATTTATTTCCAACAATCACTTTTATGTAAGAAATTATTAACAAATAAAAATACCGACAAAAAATATTTATAAAATGTAAGAAGTTACTTATAAGTAAAAAATCTACAATTTTGACGCTAATAAAAATACAATAAGTAACAAAATCGTGCAACGCACGTGTCAAAGACTAGTTATATGCAGAAAAATGATCATATGATTATTCATTTCAGACTTGGATTAATG